ACGTTTTACAATGAATATCAACTGTAAAACTGTATTCTTACCATGTTGAGCATAATAAATCGAAAAAATGATAACACCAACGATCAAAACTGTTAGTAATACAATTATCGAAATTATATTAGAATAACGCCGAATTGGTGAAATAATAATTCCTCTAAAGCAGAGAAATTTAAAATTAAAATAATAAATTAAAAACATCAATAATATATACTCAGATGTTATATTATTGGTTGTTGTAATCTCAACATTTAAAGTTGTGTTATGAATAACAGAACTATCAGATGATATTTCCAGAGAATTGTCAGGATGAATTGATGTTCTTTGTCTTTTTCGATAACGATTGACTGCTGATACAATTCGAACTAATTTTGGACATATCCAATCAAGAATTATTGTTAAGCCACCTTGAAGAGCAAGAAAAAGAGTAATCGTATAGAATATATTCAATCTTTCAATATTAGTATATGAACATAATAAAGGAGAACATTGTTCATAATAAGATGAATAGTTGGATTGATTGAACCATTGTTCATTAAATAAATTTTTAATCAGTTCATCAATTGTTGCATTCTCTGGAAAACGACTGGAGATTGTTGAAAGAGGAGTTGAAGAATTATGATAATTTGTATAGTTTTCGATAAGATTAAGACATGATTGATCATAAAAACATTCAAGAGTTGATAAACGAAATGATTCACTTGGTGTACATCCTATTTTTAATCCTTTCACTGGTGTCGTTTTTGACGAATTTTCGTCGACAAAAGTCGCTTGAGTCGTACAATTCGAATACAAGCCACATGAGCATTCATCATCATAAATCATACCTTCAGTATATGCATACCTAGACTTCGTTCCAGTCATCAAAAAAATATATTCGAAATTTGAGCCATATGTTGATATGAAAGCATTTCCATGATTAACAGTTCGAGTGATGAAGAGAAGACGAGAGAATAGAATAGGAGCATTTGATTTGCTTTGCTCAATTGAGTTATTCAGATGATTATAAAAATTTTCTTCAGAGAGAAGCTCAATAGTGACTAATAATGATGTTAGCGATTCATTAACAGCATTATTGACTGATTGTTGAGAAAGTCGACATAATCCTTGAAGATATTGTATATGAGCAGAAAAAAATCGACGATAATCCTTTTGTGAATAAATAGATAAATTAGAAACAAGGCCATTTGCTATACCGATTCGCCATTGTTCGGAAATGAATTCACTTGAACAAATCTATCAATAAGAATGAATGAAATTGTTAATTAAATCTATTATTCAAAATTTTCATAAGGAAACTTTTGTAAAAAAAAATGAAATTCTTTCATTTTATCTGATTACTAAGAGTTTCTAAGGTTTTGTCAATTGTAAATTTCATTGATGGTATATTTGCCATTGTTGAATTACTATATAGTACATGTTTGCGGATTGGCGGTAAGATTTTATCCTGATCAACAAGGTCATGATGTAATCAGTTGCTTATTCAATTCTTTTAAAATAACAAAATACTCTCTTACCGAATGAAATTCTGGTTTAATTTCAACAA